AATTTAATAAATATTTAATTAAAAAATTTTTTTTAAATTAGATTTTATTTTGAATTAAAAAGTCATTAATAATTTTAAATAACTTTTAATTAAAATGTTTTATGTTAAAATAATCTTCAATTTTTCTTCGTATTTATTAGTATACAATTTTATTAAATAAGTTATGAAGATTGGAGCTTTGACTGAGGCAAGTTAAATATTAACTTTTTGTTTGCTTTTTCACATTTACATTTTTAATAGTATAGAATTACAAGTATATTTTAGTGATCAATTTATTATATGCAAAGGCCTCATCTTTGCATTAATATATGGCAGTAATTGCGTGCTTTGTACCGATGGAAAGTCGAAATTATTTTTATCATGGAGAGTTACTCCTCGTCGCTTTTCGTAAAGTCTATTCGCGAAGTCTAGCTTGGTGTCTCTTCTAACCCCGAATTTTCTTGTCTGCAGTTACTGAAAGTAATAATTTTGTCAATGAGTCAATAATAATTGCTACATATTTTAAAGCCAAATTGCGAAATTATAATTTATTTCTAGCAATAATTATAGTTTATTTCTAGCATTTCTAGGTATTTTCTAGCATACAATTTTTGTCGCTTTCTTTACTTTAGTAAATGTTCTCTCACTAATAATAATGTTAGTAACAGTACTGTCTTAATAACATATGGAATTTAGTATTATATATGATTAATATAAATATATACATATAATGATTAGTTATTCAAATCCAAATTATTAAGTAAATAAATTTAATTTTTATACAAACAATTTGCTTATTTTTCGATGATTGTTCTAACAAAAATGTGGTTACGAATGTGTATATTTAATTTTCTAACTCTTATTTTTTAAATCATTTTTTTAGGTATTGGACATCACGCTATTCCAAAAATTATTTATTATTAATTTTTGTGTATATTTTTTATGATAAAATACATGCAGGTATTATGAGATTATAGTTAACAAATTTTAATATCTGTCGACTTTAGATAATTTTTATCAAAATATTTCATATTCTTTTATAGTGTATCGTGATTATATGAATTCAATTAAAAATGTATGGGTAGAAAAAATTCGAGATAAGTCGAATGGGTACCCTCATATTAGCGGGATATCAATAACTAAAATTTTTAAAGAAAATACTGAAAAATAAGGAATTGCTAAATTTTATATAATACATTTTTCAGTATATATATATACATATATAAATATTCCTTAAAATCCCGTTATTATCGGGTTCGGCTTATCTCGAACAGTTGGTACCCGAGAAACTTTTGTACCCATACATATAAAAAATTACAATAACGCATGTATTTTATTAATAAATATATTCCTTTGTAACCACGCTAGTCCATAAGGAAATCATTCTATTCATTTATTTTTAATAAGAAATAATTTTTAGTGATGTGTGGCAGAACATACTTTCTCGCGAATTTTAATATTATATTAATAATGTGATAAAAATGGTAATTGTAATTGACATGCTATTAAAATTATTAGTTAATTACTACCGTAAGTGGTCTAGAAGATTCGGGATTCACACTCTCCTGTAACAAAACCATTGGTGTTTAACAAATTGCTTAATTTTTCTTTGCGAATGGATCTTGTGAATTTGACGTAGAATCGAAATACATTGGGTTCGCTCTCCATTATGAAGATTATTTTTTTTTGTATCGGATACTAACGCGCATATCACAAAGCAGAGAGATCTTAATATATAATCAAATTATTAAGATTATCTTGAACGCGACGAAAGTATTATCGTAAATCTATTAATGACTTTTAATCATTATATTAATAAGTTGTCGCAAATAAATAATTAATAGTAAATATGATCTAATAGTTATTAGTATTGCTTTTCGCGTTTATATTTTATTAAATATTGGTTTAGAAAAATTTGTGTTATTATACGTATTTTTGAAGGTTTCGTATAATTCCGTATTATTAATTTGTGAATTATGCTCCTATATTATTATCTTTATTATATTTTGAACAGCATTTATAATTGTATATTGTATTGGAAACAATTATTATAATTGTATTTAAATTATATAAAAGATTACAATAAAAGATAATATTAAAAGAGTTTTTGTAACATAATTAGTAAAATATGATAAAATAATTAAACATAAAAAAAAAATAAATTAAAAATATATTTACCTGCAAAAACGAGCTACTAAATTTATTAGTAACCTGTTTGTTTTTACGGGTGAGTATACTTATAAAGAAAAGAGGACCGCCGATAAAATCGGCGGGGGTGGTGGAGGGCCTCTAGCTCGTTTTTGCTAAAGTAAATCTTAATTTAACGATATATGATTGTAAAAGTTTAAAGTATATTCGAAAACTTTATAATTAGAATTGTTAGTGCGATTATAGAGACTTTAGAATATATTTATATACTTTTAATGTTTTCATATTACTATTATTATTTCTATTACTAAAAAGTAATTTTACTAAAGGAAAAAATATATATATAAGGATATATAAACATGTATGGACATATTTAATATATAATTCATAACAAGTTTATAAATATTTATGCGTGTATGTTTATACATATTTATACATATCATAAAAAGCATAATATTAAAAATTTTTTATCCAGTAAAAGAAGTATACGTCTATCAGCGGGTATAATATAAATTTTTTTTATGTCTTTAGCTCCTTTCCTTTTACTAAAAATTTAATTAAAATAGAAAATTTAAATTGTTTCTTCAGTTCGTTGTCTATTATAAATAACTATTAATATGTAATTAAATGTTTAGAATTTTATCGATAAAGTTACAAGCATTTAATTTTTTGTTATTAATTTATGATTTTAATTTACATTTTTTAAGACTAATTATTTATTATTTTATAAGTAATCAGTCTTAAATTTTTCTGTTATACAATTTCTTCGATAGCCATCATTTAAGTTTAATTGCTTTTTAATTTTCAGAAAGAATATAATTTTTATATTTAGAACGCGCTTTTAATGATAAATATCTATTGAAAACGTGCTAACATCGTATAAGCATGTTCTGAATACGTACAGACTTCTTCGGATTCAAGAAACGCATGATCTCAAATTTCGAAGAAGACTGGTATTTTTCTCACGCGTTTATATACCATATGTGAAAGCTAGCAGCGATCCAATGAACGCTCAGATATAGCGGCCACAGCAAGGCCCACGCTCATTGGCTGGCTTAGAGTGGTGGGGTTCGACGTTCCGCCGGCTGTATAAATAGAGGTGTAATTCGCGAGATCTCGCTATTGCGACTCGGCCAGGGGATAGGTTTACGTCTTGTAATATAACGTCGAAGTAGTACGCATCTGGGTGTTCGTCCTGTCATATAACGTTGAAACAACTCGCATTCTTGGTTTCGAATCAACTTTGTCGACTATGGACCTTTCTTTCACAAGTATCCTGATCCAAATCCTGATCAGAAGTTTAGAAAATAAAACGACGAAAAACGGCTCGAAAGGATCTTTCGAATTACAATAAGGTAACTAATAAATATTGTCAAATTATTAATATTTTCACGCGCGACGCGAGAAATGTTTAAAAACCGATCGAGCAGTTTGGAAACGTCTTACATGTTAATTAAAATATTTAATGTTATTAATACGTAATGCGACACAAAGTATAATTAACTTTGCATTTATCTCCTATAACATTTTACATATCGCGTATTGTAAATCTAGTAGTACTAGTGCACTGATTGTTCGGCCGAAAGTATTTTTCGCAATACTCGTTCGGTCGAATCAAAAGTAGTACGCATTAATTTTGATAATTCATGAAGTTGATCGCGCGCAAGAAACGACGCTGCTCCGCCATTTTGATGAGATCGCGACGGACACGAGACGAACGAGACGAGTGGCAGAACGCACGCCTCGTCGCTCGTCATTTGTCAGTCTCAGTGAATCTGCTGACGCGGTCAGACATGTTATTTCGTCATTATTTTTGGAAAGTGTGACCGGCTTCAAACGCGCAATTGAGTTTTATGTTACTCTTTTAGATTTTCGTATTCTACTGTTTTTTGTTACTCACCGCATAAGCGGCATTTTCGATTCTGGCCGTATCGACTTTGTGTTAGAGTCGGGACCATTTTCACGCGAAGAAGTCACTTGTCAGTCGTTCACCGATGTCGTTCCCGTTTTCGCCGCAATTACATATTATTAAAATAGCAAAGCAGCGCGACGTTTTTCGCGCGCGGTCAACTTCGTGCATCATTAAACTTAACGCGGCGTACTGCTTTTGATTCGTGTGAGTATACAAATATTTTTGGCATGTCATTTAATTGGTAAAAAGAAACTTATACAATCATTGTACTTTTTTCATTTACAATATGCAACTGACGCGGAACATTAATTTGATACTCGTATACTACTAATAATTAGTTAAAACGCATAATCTCAATATTTGTATATATTGCATGAATAATTGGCAGAGGTTCGTACTACGAATGTCGCGG